ACCGCAGGTCAAAGACTCAGGCTGTAGCGCCAAACTGCCTGTGTTCAAACTCCAGCTCTGTTATTAACCTGAATGACCCTGGGGATACACATAAGTGTTCAATGCCTCTGTTTTCCCACCTGTAAACAACAATACCTGGTTGCTGCACTTGGTAATTCATACGAACCTCGTAAAACACCTCCTGGCACATAATAAGTGTTCTTTAAATGCCACCAATTAGTAATTTTGTTTGTGGCTGTTTTTCTTCCTAATCACTGTCAAGAATAAATTATTCTCTCCTTTGATGTAAGAAAATATAAGAAGTGGTATCTTTACTTCAAAATCCTAAAATTAATTTGCACCAGAGAGCAAACCATAATCTCAAGAAACTGACTTCCAAAGCTATTTGCAAAAAAAATAAAATGTATTTATAGGGACTGTTCTTAAAATAAAAATCTGAAATGGCCCTAGATATTCTGCAGCACAAGTCTTTTCCATATCACTTGTGCCAGAACCGTCTCCAGCAACATCTTGTATTATTCTTTCTGCAAATAATAACAGCCATATTGACTTAAGCAGAAGTGTCCGTGTGAGTAAAAACACATGCACACAACACCCAGCAATGGAATTAGGTCTCACATCCAGGATGTGCCCTGCTTCCCAACAAAGCTCATGGCCCTATTAAGAGAAAAAGCATTGCAATCCCAGGAGGCATCTCCCCATTTCTTAGAGCTGGAATCTGGTGACCAAGCCACACGTTACTTAAACATCAACTGGTGATGCTTCTCTATATATTGGGAAGACAAGGAAGAGAAAAAGACAGGTAAAAAGCAGGCAGAGCCTGTGGCTCAAAGGAGTAGGGCACCAGCCTCATATGCCAGAGGTCAGAGGTGGCGGGTTCAAACCCAGCCCCGGCCAAAAAACAAACAAACAAAAAAGACGGGTAAAAAGTGCAGCTGATGTTTCTTTACCTTCAATACTGTAATGTTCCAAGCAAAGCTCTCAGTAGCCTTGTTGAGTTTTCTTCCTTTCAAGCCTTCTTTTGTCCCCAAATTATGAAGTTCTTCATGGAACTCCATCCCTTTAAAAAAAGAATCAAGAAGAAATCTTAGTATACATTTCAGGGGAAAAACATGGTTTTATTATCAAAATATTATCCATAAAATATAATTTCACGTTCCTGTCCTCTCATAATTCCTAAATCCCTAAATTGAATTTTCCTTTCCAGTCTGCTCATTCCACCAAACAGATGCCCTTAGAGGCAAACCAACAATAATCGATGCATTAGGCAAAGTTACATTTTAAACACCCAGGAGCCATAGGTAGAGACATAAGAATCGAAGAAGTAAATTCTTCCCAAAGGTTACCTCTGCCTTCCTCGTCCTCTTCCTGGTGACTGGTGTGGTGTGTAAGTGGCAACTGTGTGTGCACGGGTCTTACTCCTCTCCGAGAGCCACCCGTGTAGCTTAACAGCAGGCCCCGAGGCCCACAGAGACCACCATTGGTGATTAGTAATGTTGACTAAAATAAAAAAGCTTTTCTAAAAATAGCATTCCTGGAAATACCCGAGCGCTTCAGATTTGGGAAAGGCCTTAAAGCATTTTCAGCCCAACCATTCAATCAAGCTTGAATACTATAAAAACTATCACCATCATCTATTTCTTCAGCACCTCAGGAATGAAAATCACATTCTCTTTTGGAGAGTCCTCACTGATACTGAGCCAAAATCTCCTTCCCTGGAACTTCTATCCCTGGGTACTAGCTGGCCACAGACCAACAAGGTCTAATCTCTTTTCCACAATGTGGGAAGTTAAATATTTGAAGAAAGATATTGGAAAAACCTCCTCGAGTCTTCGCTCCTCCAGACTAAACATTCTAACAGGTGTCAGCTGGCTAATGACTCTTCTTTAAGACCAGCGTCCAGGCAGGCTCCTGCATTGCCCAGCTGCGTGGAGCTGAGCACTGTGGGAAGCTGCGTCCAGGCGTGAACACTGCTCAAAGTGGGCCTGAAGCAGCTCACGCAAGGTGGAAATTTACTACCATTCTCCTGGTTCTGCTTACCGGGCCTTTATGAAGGCAGCCTAAAACCACACTAACCTTCCTGGTGCTAACACCACAAACATAGCACAGGGTAACAAACACAACTGTGGGGCCAGGCTCTGCCACTTACTGCCCATGTCAGCCTGAACAGGTCCCCAAGACTCTCTGGGCATCAGTTTCCTCACTAGTGAAATGGTGGTAACCAGAGCATTTCCCTCCTGGGATTTAGTGGAGATCCAATGAGTCAATATATATGTAGTTCTCATAGCAGTGCCTGGCATCATATAAGAACTAGGTATTGTTATTTTTTGTACTTCCAGTCAATTGAAACATCTAAGCCTGCTGGTCAGTCCATGAAGAGCAACAGTTTAGAAATCTGGTCTGGGTTTGAAGGTCAGCTTCACCCAGGTTGATATGGGATCTCAGGTAATTCACTCGGTCTCTCAGAATCTCAGCTACCTCCTTCATAAAGTGGATCTGATGATTATTTTGCAGAGTGTCATGAGGACTAAGTGAGCCAGTGGATGTGCTCAGTGTATCATGTGCATATATATTAAGAAATTGCCACTTGTCATCTTCCTCGTCATAACCATCATTGCATATGTGGAGGAGTGGAGGGAGGGCAACAGAAAGAAACAGAAGTGCACTCACAGAGAAGTGACTCATCTCACCCATAAAGGACACAGACATCTAAACCCCAAAATGAGGGTTAGTGAATAACGCAAAAGCCGAGAAGATTAGTAGGATTATGGTTCACTTTGTAAAAATAAAGTGGGTTTTAAAGGGCCATGTGAAACCACAGCTTCCATGCCAGCAGTAAAAGATTTTGAGAGTGTCCCAAACCACAAAAGTCAATTCAGAAACTCCCTGCCCTCCAGACATCTTCAGACACCACCCCAAATCCATACACACACATAAAATCCATCTATTATCACTTAGGCTTCTTCCCTACTAAACAAAGTATAGTTAAACAATGCTATGAAATATTTTAATTTTAAGAGAAAGAATGGAAAGCTTTTTTAAAAATCTTCTATGAATTATTATGGTTTCTAAAGAATATATTTTAAAAACCCACCAAAGGAAAAAATTACCTGCTTTCTGACACTGTACAATTTTTTCATGGACTGTGTCTGCCATTTCTATGAGAAACCGGCTCTCTTGAATCATCTGTTACAAAATAAACATCAAGAAAAGTAGTTGTGAGAAATCCTTAAACTGGTTCATTGGGAAGATGACACCATACAGACAGACTCACATGACACTTCCAGTGACAGGGAACCATGGTCTCAACCACAAGAGATGGGAGAGGGAAGGATAATCTCTGTTCCAAGCCCCCTCCATTCTCCAGTTGTGTAAAATACTTGGTACACAGCGGATGCCAAATAAATAGCCGTTGAATGAATGCAATTCTTGAAGTCTCAGGTCATCTTCATAAACACCGCTGATTCCACCTCTTTCCCCAAAGAGGAATGCCACTAAGGCACAAGGTATTGGAACACAACAGTAAAGAGAACCAGAAGAGGCTTATTTATCCCTCCAGGGACTACTAAAAGTCATTTTTAAAAATATTCTGTGCTCCATTTCATCCTCCTCCCCTCTCCTCCATCTGCCCCCACCCAAAACTGAAGCAGCTCCTATCTTCACCAAATTCTCACAAAACTCCCTTCGTGTCTCTCAGAGGAGGGATGGAAGTTCTGGTCATTCCCATCCCACTTCTTCCTAAATACCATTTCTAGAATCATCTTCCAAAAGTACAACACTAGTTAATGCCTGGCTTTGCCGCTTTGACAGCTTCCCCCTTGCTTAATGAAGGGGGTCATATCTCTAACCTAGAGTTCATGTCCCCCCACACTCCAGCCCATCAAACTCAATAGCCATTGCCTCCATGGTGTCCCCGTCCTCATGAGTCCCTGTTGACCTGGATGAATTATGTGTCTAAGCACCCCCTACATGTCCCTCCTTCCACATATTTCCTCCCGTTAGAGAAGCCTCTAAAGCTACCCCCCGTCAGCCAGGCTGAGAAGCTCACTCAGTGCCCTCCTCCCTGGGTTTCCTGATTTCCCCTTCTCTCTTCTTTCCCACTTCCTAAGTTCCCCCAACATTCTAACTTGTTTATTCTGCTCATAGAATTTCTTATTTTCTATCTTATAGTTCATTGTTTACTGATACTGTCTTCTACCTTCTCTCCTCCCCAATAAATTGTAATCCCAGTAAAACAGGAACTCCATCTTACTCACATTTTTACCCCAGATTCACCCATCCGTTTAATATATAATCACCTTTTCCCTATTTTACTTTTGCTATCCTTATTTCTTCTCCCACATATGTATGTATAACAAAATATTTTATTTGTTATTGGTCACTTTTCAAACTTGTAATTATTTTCTTGAACTCTGACCTTTCTTTTTGTCTCTAAGTTTCTCCACTCTATTTTTTTCTAGGCTTCTCCATTTTTCTATAATTTTACATGCTCTTAATTTTCTTTCAAGTTAAGTACTAAAAGGTAAGTACAAAGCTTTTAACAGGATTACTCCTATAAAAATATTAACATTCCACCATCATAAAGTAAAATAAGTATTAAAACTTTATTACACCCTTATTTGAGGTAAAATAAATTCAGGGTCAAAACATACTTACAAATCCTATAATTCAACTTCTCTAAAATCCCCAAGTAAATATTTGCTCAGCCCACAGTAAAAGAAATTTCTGTGTTTCCCATCGATTAATAGATCATTTCATAAAAAGATAATCTAGTGTGATTTAACTTCAAAAAAAAGGAATTTGGCTGGGCACCTATAGCACAGCCACATACACCAAGGCTGGTGGTTTCAAACACAACCCAGGCCAGCTAAACAACAATGACAACTGCAACAAAAAAAGTAGCTGGGTGTTGTGGCAGATGCCTGTAGTCCCAGCTACCTGGGAAGCTGAGGCAAGAGAATTGCTTGGGCCCACAGGTTTGAGATTGCTGTGAGCTGTGACACCACAGCACTCTACTGAGGGTGACATAATGAAGCTCTGTCTCAAAAAAAGAAAAGAAAGAAAAGAAAAAGACACTCCTCTTTGTGATTCCTCAAAGGATAACCTGAAATCCTTTAGTAAGAAAAGTTCCAAATTGTATCCTCAAACATCTCATCACTAATATTCTGAAAACAAATCTTTGCTTATGTGAAATTTTCTCAGAAGAACATCTAATCGTCTCTGTGAAAACAGCTTCCATTGTATTTAGAAGAATACTTTTATTCTATTTTCTGCAGTCAACTTTCAATTATGAGTAGTTATAGAGAAAACAAATAGATGTCTAAAATATACAAATAATTCCAAACCACAATTTACATCAACAATCTCAAGCTTTCCTCTACACTGAGTAATTCATCTAAATTGCTAGTGAGATAAAGTGGTTGATTTGCATTTCAGCTCCTTCCTAGGGCGCTCCTGCTACTGACTGAAATGAAATGTAGAGCCCAAGCCAAGGAGAGGTGAGAAGATGTCCTCAGATAATCCCCCAGCTGGGTTGTCAGTACACTCAGCCAGGAAAGGCTGGGTTGACTCAATCGATAAAATCTGGCAGTGTCCTGATTTACATATCTGATGCCACTGCCTGGGCTCCTAGCTGCCTTTGCCTGCTGCAGTAAGACAAAGAGCTTTTCTTCCATTCTGTCACATGAATATCTCCTAATGGATCTTTCTTTGCCAGGGCTTTATTCCTAAAAGAATAGGGAACTCACCCAGATAAGGGTTGGTATTACTTTATGCATTAGATGTGTCCTAAGGAAGGATGTGTAAAGGTGTGAGTTAAGATTAAAATTACTTATTTAAAAAGAAAACTATACCAAAGGGGACAGTAATGCTTTTACTCGGAGATGGATTAAATTGTCTAACCTGTGTAGGAAAAAAAAAAGTTTCTTCCAGTTTTTCCCACTAAGAAGTTGAATTCCCCAGAATCACTGCAGAGTCAATGGAACTACTCGATAGTACTGAAAAAAATGAAACTTCATCATTTCAGGGCTCAAAAAATCTTCGGTAGATTCTAATTTTCTCCTGAATGATAACTAAATTCCTCAAACTTCCTATTGAAAAGTCATCTTATCAGAGACAATCCCATTTTACAGATTTAAAAAGCTGACTAAAAGTTGACTTGCCTAAAGTGATACAGTTGATTAGTAAAATAATGTAGATTAGAACCCAGGCGTTCAGGAGGAGACCTAAGCTCATAAGTTGTTCATGACACCAACATTTTTATCTCACTATACATTTCCCGTTGCAAATGCAACTTGGTGACAAACAGTCAATAAAGTGGCATTCATCAAATCATCATGAAAATAAATTTTTGTCCTGGCTACTTTTCCCTCCCACTTTAATTTGCAACACGTATCTACTATTACAAACGCTCTTCTATGAAAACTAGGAAGAAGTATACTTACTTGGGTCCACCTTTTTTTCAGGAAGGCATTGGAAACTTTGGATAAAGCTACTATTTGAGAATATGTGAGTCAGTAAAAAGACAATCTATTCTAAACATATTTTTGTTCTCTCCCCTTAAGAACACTGCAGTAACTCATCCATCTCGTACCTGCCTTGGACTAAAAACACAAGGTTTTGGTTCGTTGCTTTTGCAGTGGCTCATCTTTTCAGATTGTTTAAAATAAGACATGTATCGTATTAAATTTGGTACATCTAGAAATAAGATTATTACATATATATGTACTAACTAGAATGAAGATAATATCCTTTACTTCTCAAGTTCTTTCAATATGGTAGAAACTCTATAAGCTGACCACCCAAGGGACAGTAACAAACTGACCCACATACAGAGGTGGTCAACATAAGGAACCAGGCCTACTGAACTGATATGTACATGCAGTGAGTGTCTGGTCTATGTAAATTATGTCAACTTCAGGAGGTGGTCAAGCTTGGAGGTTCTACTGTATTTTATATGAAACAGATAAAAGCATCATTAATTGATTGGCATCTTTTGTTTTTAAATAATCTGTCCTGTCAAGAGGGCTTACTCTTGGTGAAACAGAGACAAATGCAAAGTCAAAATATTAGCCGTCTTCCTGCCTTTGATGTGTGCAACAGAGTGTTTTCTGTCCTGGGACTAGTGCTATCTCACATTTTCAAGCCGGATTAATAATGGGGGGCAGGACAAGAAAACTCCTACAGAGCAAGCTGGAAGACATTTGTCTTCGTGTTCAGGATAGAGACAGGATCTACTTCACTGAGCTGCTTTCTGCACAAAGGGATCATGTTACCTTTTCCTTCATCCAATTGTTCTGTTTCCCAAACAGTTGTCAGCTACACCTTGAGTAATCATTTAAAAGTATTTGCTTCTATGCAGTTATCATTACCATTTAGCTCCTTCATAACATTGCCAGGTGACTAGCCTTCATAAACCTCCTCCAGGATTGTCAAGCCTATTTGACTACCTTACTCTCTTTAACTAAAAGTATTATAATAGCTTGAGGATTCAGAAATGCAAAACCAACTTTTGAAGATGCATGTACAAAATTCTACAAAGAAGCCAGCCTCAAATACTTGCTTACTGATGCAACTGTGATCATGGTTTCTCTGGGTATCAGGATCTTAAGGACGCTCTGGTACCAAGTGGGAATTTTCTCACCATTCAAGATGCTGACAATTCCAACCTTACACAGAAAATGTGTCCAAAGACACTGCTGTATCCACAAGTGAAGGAAGTTTCTGTGCACCAAGTGTACAACACCTTACTTTTAAATAACCAGCTATGATTGGCCACATGCCAACAAGTGGTTTGGGGGGGGTTCCACTGCTATGTAAGTCAACATATTCTTTGAAACCCAAACTAATATAAAGTTCTATATAAACTTCACAATGAGAGACAGTGCTGGAAGAATATCTGTGACTTATCTAATTTCAATTTAAATTGATTTCAATAAGCAAAACTAAATTGAGGGACTATAAACATGCCCGCAACTTCTTCCCATCTTGAGGCTGCAAATGTATTAGTAATAATGCCCACGTACAAAAATGCATTTAATCCAACCCATTACACTTGGCCTAATTATGACACTTGCCAATGCATCGGCTCCACTGCAAGCATGATTAGATAGCAATGAACTGTTTTTGTTAGATGCCTGCTCATGTTAGCTCTCCAAATCACATCCCAACTGACTTAGTAAAACATT